CTTCCTGCCTCGGCCTCCCGTTGTGGGGGTTACGGACATGTGCCAGCATGTCCAGCTAGTAACAGTTTTTCTTCTATGTATCAGCTAAAGCAGCAAATGTAGGGCTGACAGTGTGGCTCAGTGGCAGAAGAGTGGCCAGGTGTGCATGAGGGCCTGGGTTCTGTCTGCACTGCAAGGGTAAACAGACTTCCAGCCTGGACTACACAGCAAGACCTGTTTCAAAATACTAATTAAACGATGCAGCCACTTCACTTGCAGGGTCACTACCCTCGCAGCCCCTGTCACCGAAGGAGCATCATTTCTCGGCTAATGGCTGTAGCTAAGGACAAGTCCAAGCAGTCCCTGAGTAGTTCAAACCCAGCAACGCCTTGATAATCCCCATGTTTATGCAATTAATTTGAATCCCCTCCTCCCAACTCTTAAGATGACCTGGGGAGAGTTCCTGTCAGGCTGGCCTGAACTCTGCAAGATCCTCCTGCCTCAGCCCAGGCATGTGTGGCCACTTGGCTGAAGGGTTTCTGTCCTTTGTGTTGCTGGAGTCTGCAGACATAACTCGGCTCAGCTGTGCTCTCTCCCTGCCTCCAGGGCACCAGTTCTACCACTCCTTGCTGTGTGTTGTGCTCCAGTTCCTCATCCTCCGGCTGATGGGCCGCACCGTCACCGCCGTGCTCACCACCTTCTGCCTGCAGATGGTAAATGTCTCCCTGCAGGCTCGGGCCACAGCTGGCGGCCATTTGGGGGCAGGGGCTGTGGTGCAGCGGGAAACAGGACAGCTGGCTGCTGACCTTTGGCACTCAGCACCCTGGTCTTTGGCGGGGCACTTCGCACAGCCAGGACCAGAGTTTCCCCTACAGAGGGTGAGGGAACTTGCTGCTCACCCAGGAAGGTACACAAGGCACCCTTTCTGCCTAGAAGGCGAGGCAAAGCCAGGCATGGTGGTACACGCCTGTAATCCCAGCACTGGGAAGTCTGAGGCAAGAGGATCACTGTGAGTTCGAGGCCAACTGGACTACACTGAGCCCAAGAGGCAAGAATTGACTAGCTAGTTGCTCAATTTAGCCTTATTTTGCAGAGAAATCTTGAGCCAGTCTCTTTCCGTTGTAGGCTTAATGTCCCCATTTGCAGGAATTTAAGGCTTTTCACAGTGAGACCAGCAGAAAGGAAAAAGGAGAAAACCAGGGATTTCCAAGCAAGGAGAGATAGGCGTGGCGGTGATGCTGTCATCCCCTCCCCAGGCCTACCTTCTTGCTGGGTATTACTACACAGCCACAGGCAACTACGACATCAAGTGGACGATGCCACACTGCGTTCTGACGCTGAAGCTCATTGGTGAGTGGGGTGGCCCCTGAACCCCACACCTCCTGGGGCACGCAGGCTGCACCTGTGTCCCCTCTACCCTCCCCTCCTCTCTGCGCAGGTTTGGCTATTGACTACTTTGACGGAGGGAAGGATCAGGTGAGTGCTGCTCCCCCAGCCCATGCCACACTGAGGGCAGAGGAAGGCGGTGCCCACTGGACCCAGATCCCAGGGAGGGCATCGCACAACTCACCCACTGGGACCCAGCTCTCACAGAGGCCAGAGCCACACACAAGGCCCTCAGAGTGGCCTGGCGCCCAGGTGGCGACACGAGGCTGCCCTGAGCCTGTCGCTCTCTCCTCGGCAGAGCTCTCTGACCACTGAGCAGCAGAAATATGCTTTCCGCGGAGTCCCTTCCCTGCTGGAAGTTGCCGGCTTCTCCTACTTCTACGGGGCCTTCCTGGTAGGTCCCCAGTTCTCCATGAACCACTACATGAAGCTGGTGCAAGGGAAGCTGACAGACTCTCCCGGGAAGCCGCCAAACAGGTACCGCGCTCCAGGTCACAGCCCAATGCAGTCTGCTCAAGCGGTTTCCTCAGCCTGGCCCTAGCGTGAAGGGCCAAGTCTGTCCGGCCCCATCCAGTCCTCTGTGCCAGTCCTCTGTGCACTCTGCACCTTTCTGTGGCCCTAGTGGCCTTTTCAGCCCAGACTCCAAACAGGAAGACTGACTCAAGAGGCAGGGTCTCCCTGTGTACCTCAGGTTGGCCTTGAACTTATTATCTTCCTGCCTCAGCCTGCCAAATGCTGAAATTACTAGAATGTGCCACAGTGCCCGGCTTGTAAAACTTCATTTTTATGTCACAGAATTTTACCCAGAGTAGTCATGGCCCTGCCTTGAAAGCCTGTTTTCTCATCTTTGGAAAAAAAAAAAAAAAAAAGCTAAATGTGCATGTCTGTAATCCCAGCTACTTGGGAGGCTGAGGCAGAAGGATCTCCAGTTTAAGGCCAGCCTGGGCAATTTAGTAAGGTCCTGTCTCAGAATCTAAATAACAGGGCTGGGCATGTAGCTTAGTACTCCATGGATTCAGTCCCCACTGAGAAAAAAAAAAAATTTATATGTGTGTGTGTGTGTGTGTGTGTGTGTGTGTGTGTGTGTGTGTATACGTATATATATGTATATATATGTATATATATAACAAAAATGTACATGAAAATATATTGGTAGAAGATTCGAAAGTGACCAGAAGAGCTCCTTCACGAGCGCTCGCCCAGCCTCTCAGGGTGAAGTCAGGAAGCAGGCTGAGGTGGTGGTGCTGCCCTGTCCCACCTGTAGGTGCAGCAGGGCCCACTGGGGGCAAACCAGCCCTGCGCCTGACCCACACCCTCCTTTCCAGCACTGTGCCTGCACTCCAACGCCTGAGCCTGGGCCTCGTCTACCTGGTGGGCCACACACTGCTCAGCCCACACATCACAGAGGACTACCTGGTCTCTCAGGACTATGAGGTGAGCAGGACAGGCGATGCTGCCCCAGCTGGGTCAGCACCGGGCTAGGTGGGGGGGGCTCCCCGAAGCCCTCACGCCCTCCTCTCCCTGCAGCACCAGCCTCTCTGGTTCCGCTGCCTGTACATGCTGATCTGGGGC